TAACAATCAATTCATATCTATCATTTACAAACTAAAGAAATAAATTTAGGTCTCTTTGAAAGAAAAAAATAAAAATAATTACGAGAAATGAGAAATATATATTTGGATAAAATATAAATTTACAATAATATTTTTAGATGGATGATGAATCACAAAAAATAAGAGAAAAAGCAAAAAATTCAGTATTTTATATGCAAAGAAATAATTATCTATTTTATTTTAATATTAAGATCTTATATAAATAAACACTTATTATTTAAAATATATTCGATTTGTCCTTATTTTCGAATAAAATGTATGATCACTTAACAAATAGCAATTATTTCATAGTCTATAAGAAAAACAATAAAATGACATAATTTAGGAATAATGATTAATAAGATTCATGATTAAACTAAAGATTTGATATTTCTGATCATATTTTTCAATATATCTTTTACTTCTGGGAATAGTTCTGATGTGTCTACAATTTCATCATCTTGTTTTATCATTTATTGATTTTCTTTAACTAGACTCTCAAAATCCCTTATAAGTTTGATAAAATTATTACTTTCCCATAATTTAAGTCCATCGATATCTCAAATATTTATAGTAACGATTTTTTACAGTGCTTAATGACTTCATAGGAAAGTACGAGGATATGACTTTGAATTTAGGTCCTAATTTTATAACCGAGGAGAGTATTAAACGATCTTCACTAAGTGTAAATGTTTCAGACAGCGGAATTCGACGTCTCTGGTAAACAACAGTACGCTTTGATCCTGTGAATAGCCTTTTACGTTTGATTTTTTTCTTAATTGTTTAATTTCCTGATGAATTTTTATAAAGGACTTAAGGTTTTGATTATTTCTCCATTTTAATAGTAGATCTTGTAGAATGAAGAACAGATTGAGAAGTTTTTGTTTGCATTTAAACAAATGGGATGTCACTTTAGATAGACATTTATATTGAAATAACTAACAATTTAATTAATTTGCACATCTGTTTGTTTGAATTAAATATAAAGAAAGATATTAATAAATATCAATATATGATGACTTAATATAATTTATCATAATTATGATTTTGTCACTACTCTGTTTTATTGGATTTGTAGCAGGAGCCCCAGCTGAAGACTTAGTTGATGGATCTACATGGGCTAAGTTTAAAATCCCATATTCAGGAAAAATGTAAGGAATAAAACAAAATTCTTAGGTATTCTGGGTATTTGCCAATCGATGACGCTGGTAAAAAGCAATTCCATTATTTTGCTTTTCCAGCTTTTAGTTTAGCTGGACCATTATAGGCTACATTTCCACTTGTATTGTGGTTAAATGGAGGTCCTGGATGCTCATCTCTATATGGAGCCATGGTGGAAAATGGACCATTTACAGTAGAATTGGGTACAAATAATTTCAAATAAAATCTATTCACTTGGTTAAATTTTGTAAGAATGAATGTATATTTTGAAAGGCTAATATGTTTTATTTGGAAAGTCCAGCAGGAGTAGGATTTTCTTTTGGAAATACAACAACAGATGACAAGAGCACAGCAAAAGATAATTTAAAGGCAGTGCTTGAATTCTTTAAGAAATTCCCAGAATACAAAAGCATTGACTTTTATATTGCTGGAGAAAGTTGGGCTGGAATATATATACCAACATTAGCAAATGAGATTATTGATTATAATGCAAAAGCAGCAGCTGGTGATAAGATAAGATTAAAGGGTTTGATGATTGGTAATGGATGTACAGATCCAACAGAATGCACAGATTTAGGATTCAATTTCCCTATTCATTTTTACAAGTTCCTTCATAATCATGGATTCATTAGTGAAAAATTAAATGATAAAATTGTAGCAATGACAAGTAAATGTCATATGAAATCGAATCCAGAATGTATGGAAATCTATGGAGAAGTAATGGAATAAATTAATGGAGATGAGTAATATTATTAAAGTTATAATTATAGTGACTTCTATTTTAATCCATATAATGTATATGGAAAATGCTATCAATTACCATTTTATAATGAAAAGGGAGAAATGGTGAAAGAGAAGAGATTCAAATTACATCCAATGAAAGAAGGAGTAGTTGGATAGGTCAATGAATGTTCTGAATCAGAAGCCTTGTTCCTCTATCTCAATAATGCTGCTTTTAGAAAGGTTATTTATCCATATATATAAATATTCTAGGCTTTACATATAAGAGATGATGCAGGATATTGGAATGATTGTTCTAATATTGATTACAGGAAAGATCCAGGGGCCACTTATTATTTATATCCAAAATTACTCAAGAATGGTATTAGGATCTTGAAATTCAGTGGAGACGTTGATGCAATAGTACCAATTACTGGTACTTTGTATTGGATTGATAAATTGTAGAAGGAACTAAGTCTATAATTATTGTTATATTATAGATTTACCAACTATTGAGGAATGGAGACCTTGGTATAAACCAGGAGAAAAAGGATCAGAACCATAAAATGCTGGTAATGTATGGGAAATCGATGGTTTAACCTTTGTTTCCGTAAGAAATGCTGGACATATGGTTCCAATGGATCAACCTGAAGCTGCTAGCATAATGGCTAGTCATTTCATATTTGAGATGCCTTTACCATCTGATATACTGTGATGGATATATATATAATATATTGCATTTATATAATTAATTAAATGGGTGCTTTGTGCCCTCGTTCAAGTATTGAGGTCATAAATGTTGAGTAAAATCAAAATGAGATTATGATCGATCCTCAAATTGAAATTGAAACTCTTATAAATCAAGAAACAAACTATAAACTTAGTTTAAGTCGTAATTTTTCCCTTAATAATCCAACACTCTAAACTTGTGATGAAGTAATATAATCAATTCTCTCTATCTCACTTTCTTTCATGGTGAAAGACTTTTCAGAGCAGATTAATTTCTTGAAATTGTAAATTCATAAACAAATACAAGAACTTATTAATCATTAAATTGATTTTCAAGATGAGTTACTAAAAATGCTTATTGATTATTATGAATTTCTTAGTTATGTACAAGAGAACAGCGCCACTAAAGTAGTTAGTTGGTGGAAAGAACCAAAAACAATAGTAGATCTTTAAAATGCAATTAAACATTGGTCTCAATAATTCTTTAAATTTGGAGGTCGTCTTAGAAGAGAAAAAGCATTCAGATAACTCAACTTTGAACCTAAAACTCCTGAAAGATTTGTTAAAACGCGAGAATGGATCAAAAAGTAAACAGAAGGTTAACAAGACTAAACAGAACCAAAATAATCATAAACAATAGAGCGTAATCTATAAATTGAAGATGGGTTTGAAGAATTATGATAGTATATTTGATTATTAAAATTAAAATGAACGCCAATAATATCTATGTACATATATATACTTAATAAAATACTTATTTTAGCCATCATTTGAAAGGGATAGTGAATAACATTAATATATCAAACTTAAATTTGTCATCCTAGAAAAAGATTGGCCTTATCCAAACTTTGAAATTATTGTAGCTTATAATGATCCTCTAATGTTTATAAATAAAGAATTGTAAGATAGGCATGGAGGTATTACGGATATCAGATTATATTTGGATGCTGAAAAGCAAAATCAGTAAATTATTAATTCCATTAGATTACAATACATATTCAATAAAAAAATTGGAGATGCTCTAGCAATCAAAGGATCAAATTCCCAAGAAACTGCTCCTATTGTTACTATCTATTACGATTTTAAAAATGCCATAAAGTCACCAGTTCAATTATTTTGATCATTATAAAAAATTATAAGCATCAATATTAAAATAGATATTAATTCAAATCAATATCCTGGAGGGAATGGATTCTCTGATTATTGAGTATAGTCATCAGCAAACTTATGGTTTACTTCTTTATGATGTTCTTCATCTTTTCTAATTGCTTTCACCACATCCAATAATGTTGCATTTTATGATAGTTTCCAATAGTCTATTGAATTTTAATGTGCTGGTCTAGTTTTCCAAGAATGTATTGAACTACCTTCAATTTCTATTTCCTCAATCATATGAGTATAAGTCTTCACTGCTTCCTCCTCCAAATATCCAACTATTCTATGACATACTCTTGGTTGAATCATATAAGCGATCGAGTACAACGCAACATACCATAATTAAGCTAAAATCACTCCTGTTCTAAAAATTAATGATGGTTTTTTAATTGTAAGAAAAGTCAATAAATGGACTCTCTCATTTTCTGCCTCCTCTAGTAATGTATGGATCCAACCTAAATCTCTTTTCATTCCTCTTAAGGATCTTAAATGTCTATGCATTCCTGCAACAAATCCTGGTACTCCTGCTACTGTCTCTAAAAATAGAACCCTATTTATCCATTTCTTTTCTGATATTATGTTGTCCTACCAAGGAAATACCTTTCTATATCCGCTTAGAACATCAAATCCTACTCTCATTGACTGAATGAATAAATGAGCAAATCTATCACCAAAAGTCAAAGGCACTTTGTGGTCAATCTTTACATTATTCATAGCCTCTTCATTCCAGATGGGATGAGGCATTGCATACATTACGTTCTTTTTTTCTTCACCTGGTGGCTTAGTTGAACAGAAGGTTTTCCAAAATTGTTTATTAATTCTTAAAATCATAATTAAAATTGTAAATACTGTTCAGAATTTATATATTGTGTAATAATGCGTAATAAAAAATTCCATCATAATTAAAATTTAATTAATAATTGTACAATAAACAAATCGTAATAAACCAATAATACGGAATTATTTCTCTTATATTACATATTGATTAACAATACAAATTAATGAATTTCTGCTTTTTATTTCTGTTCTTTTAAATTTAAAGTGTTTTCTAAAATCTGTAAAATTTTAAATTTAAAAGTCATAAAGATGATGCCAACTATAAAACTCAGAATTCTTAACTAAATTATATATAATTAATATTATAAAATCAAAACTTTGATTTTAGCCACCATTAGTCATTCTGAGATTCTTATTTAAATTCAGAATTATCAGCTATTTCAGAAAATACCTTAGAATTTCTATTAAAATTTTTTATTCTAGTAAGCTATACTCTATTATTCTTCTCTAATTTTTCCTAGTATTAAAATGCTAATATCATCTTCATTTTTTAATAATCCTATTCTCTAACTCTTGAAAAACTAATCTTTCTCTGTAATAACTGATTATGAAAATATAGAACTTGCAATTATTCTACTTATTTTTCTGTAGATGATTGTTCTGTTGAATATAAAGGCTATCATAAAATGCTAAATCATTATTTATTCACTCTTTATCATCATAAAATCTTTTATAATAGAGTTTATGATGTTAATATTTTCTTCACTTTTAGTAGCAATCCACAATAAGAATAATGTTGATAAAATGTATTGCCCATAAAATTCTGCCCAACTCAAAACTCTGTTGAGCTTTTAGTCTTCTTATTCTGATTTAAATTAGGCATATCTAAGAATATAATTTAGTAGATTTAAAGGCACGTATGAGAGCTTGGTATCTTAAATATATTTTATATAAACTATTCATATGAATGAGAAGAAAGATGTTTTAAAAGAGAATACTTACCATAAATAAATTTACCTTTTTTTTGTTATTCATCATCATCACTCACTCATTTATGTTCCTTTTTGGATTTTTCTCTCTTTTTATTCTTCTTAAATTCACTCTCATCTCTCTTTTTATGTTTTTTGGCACTCCTGGATCTAGATCTAGGCTTTTTGGAAGATTTGCCTTCATCTTTATATATATATTTAGATATAATTAATTACCTTTTTTAGTTTTGCGTCTTTTATCTTCTTCCTCTTTTTCTACTTAATCTTCTTTAGTCTTCTTCAATAATTCTTCACTTCTTGATCTTCTAAATTCTCCCAATCCACCACCAAGATAACGAGGTCTCCATTTAAGAATTGTTCTACCTCTTTCGATATCTACAATCACTTTACGACCATCAATACGTTTATCAACTGCATATTTATAAGCTGATTTAACACTGTTCTTGCTCTCATACTCTTTTAATTTATGATCACCCCCTTACCAATGAATGCATAGCCTCTAGGTTTATCATGAGTTGAATCTCGTACAATTCTTACAGATTTTATTGGACCGTATTCTTCGAATTCTTTGCGTAATTTTTTATCAGTTGTAGCAAAATTTAATCTTCCAACAAATAATGTTTTATAAGGATCAGAAGTAATATTGGAATCTTCAAAAGGATTCCATGTTTGCAATCTTTTCTTAACTTCTTCACTATGTTATCTTTTCTTCTCTTATTTCTTGAGAATCTTAGGTGGTAATCTTGATGGCTTTACAATATCTATATATATTATGATTTTAAATACCTTTTTCTCTTTCTACTCTTTCCATCTGCTCATATTCATCTTCAAATTTATCAAACATCCACTCTGCTTTTCTTCCAATACCCAAAATAGGATCATATGGACGACATTTTGGTTTTAATTAGGATTTGATATGAGCAATTTAAGGAATTACAAAGATTGGTTACATCTAAAAATTAAACATTAATAGGTACATCTGGGGGAAAATCAGGTTTGCGAATATTAGCTGCTTATTAAACTTAAAGAGGGTTGTTCATAGCATGAGCCAATGGCATCATAGGAGTTGGTGCCTAATAATACATAAATTTAATTATTTAAATTATGCAATTGGAATTGTTACTATAAGATGCAAATGATTAATTATAAAGAATTGAAAATAATTGGTTGCATATTTGATTGTTGGGATTAAGTTACTTTTATGAATGTTATTTATGAATATAATTTAGTAATGAATATCTCTTATATAATCGGATGATGCAAAATAGCTAAAGCCTAAATTTACAATTTAAATATTTAATTTTATTTGATGACGAATGTGATCTATAGAATAGATATCAATTTATTGAATATACTATTTTTAAATTACTTGAGAATTAAGATAAGAATATTTTATTAAATATTTATATTTATATTAATTAAATGATAAGAGAAAAGAGGGAATTATTTAGAGTCTAAATCAGAAAAGAAAAAAATGAAGAGATATTCACAAAAAAAAGAACTAGCATTATTTAATCAATCCCCTTGGATTTTCCTAAACTTGATTATGATCAATTGATTTCTAAATAAAATATTCCTCAATGTTTAGAAAACTTAAATGATTTTTTATGTTCCAAGAAAGATATTTGTCCTTAAATTATCACTGCTTTAATGTATATTTTTTTAATAAAATAGACCTGGTGCTTAAATTGCCTTTGATTTAGTATAATATTTCCCATAAGAATGTTCTAAATTTTTAACTAATTTCACATACCACATGAAAAGAGAATAGATGTTATAATTGCTAAGTTAAAGTTAAATAGTTAATTTGAATAATCTCTTGAATGGCAGTTCAGATGAATTAAAAGAAAATGTAATAATATTGTTCTTAAACTAAATAGTTGACTAAAATCATATTCAATTTTATAGTTGAATTAAATTCAGATGAAGCTTTAAAGTTAGCTTAAAGTTTATAATTATTAACTAATATCTACTATAGTTACACAACTCATGGATGTCATGAAGAATTAAGTATGAATTATCTAAAAATTATTGCTCATCTATTTTTTAATAATTACAAAGAATAAAATATGGAATAAATATTAGAAATAATAGATAATATCTCTTAATCAACTGTAGATGATGATCTTAAATTATAATCTTTTAAGACTATGAGAGCAGTTATAGGATCAAATTATATCAATTAATTTGAAGTTATTAATCAATTTAATAAATATTTAATTATTGATGATGCTTTATCTGCATTCAATAATATGATTCAACATTAGGAATCTACTAAATTAGGTATTTAAGCATTAAAAATGTTAAATGTAATAAACGAAAAGAATAAATAAATGATGAAAGTAAAGCTTATATCATATTAAGCTTCTTTTAGAAAAATATCATCTATTGACTTTCTATTCTAATGCCCTTTCAAGTAATCTTAGTCAGGATTTAACAATAATTAAATTAATCTATCAAGGATTTTTATAAATTATTGAGGATGATAATAATTTTGCATCAAATGAATAAGATTTATGTTTTGAGAAAATTGTAAGATAAGTTTAAATAGCCAATAAAAATAATTATGTAATCTATTTACTTATTTTAGGAATTTCCACCTAATACTTGTATTTTGATTCTTTAATTATTAAAATCTAGATACAAAGAATAAACAATAATTGAATTTCCAATTTTCAAATTGATCAGCGATTTCTATTAAAATGATAAATATTTTATTAAAATTGATGATTATTTGTTTATTGCATTTACAGTTCTAGAAACTGGAGAAAGTATCTGAAATTTTTATTAATTAGCAATTTATCCTGAAAGATATGTTGGAGAATTCTTGAAATATTAAGGTGAACCCATTATATAAGATATTTAAAAAAATACAAGTGATTACTCACATATGTAAATAATTGATTAAATCATTAAAATGGCAGAGTATGATGGAGAATTAGATTTTTTATGATTGATTTTATTATTATTTAATATTATTGATATAAATTATAATTAATTTATAATCTAATAGAAATACAAGTATTTATAATAATCTATTTACATAAGAATTATATGATTAAATTAAATAATGAACAATTTCATACTTAAATTAAGTTGTAAGGTGCATTAAGAAAATAAAATAATAGGTATATGTTAAAATAGTTCATGTTTAAAAGGGGCACTTTATTGTATTGATTGTTTGACATTAGATCATTCAGATCATATATAATAAACAACCAATGTTAGTGATCTTGAAAATAGGCTAGAAGAATTTATCTTGTCAATGTTAATTAATAGCAGGATTAGAGGAAGTTTAAACTCTAATTTTTAAATCTAAGAATTATTTAAAGATATCAAAATATAAACATAATAATTAGATCATTAATTTTGTGAATCAATAAGTTTAAACAATCCTAATAATAACATAGAGTAAAATGAATTAATAGTTCATTAAGAAAAAGATAAATGTTTTTCAAATGAAGAAATAGTTGATTTATAATAGAAGATAGAATGTGTTAAATGTAAAAATAGTTTAGAATAAAGTGAAATAAAAAATGATGTTGAATCTAATATTTGTAAAAGTTGTTTAGGTTAAAAATGTTCAAAATGTTAATAATTCTTTAATTATTCTTTATAGAATATTGAAAATGAGATATATTGTAAAGAATGTATAAAATGTCATGAATGTAATAAATAAAAACCAAGATAAATGTCTGGATCCTTTTTTTATCATGAAGATTGTTTGAAGATATCATAAGATTCAATACTTAAAAAAGAAATGATTGCTTATATTAAGAAATCTTTTGGAACAAAATTAAAAAAAGCCGATAAAGACAATTCAATTACTTATTTTTAATCTGAGCCATATCCTTGTTTAAATATAAAAGATTATTCGGGATATGTGATTGGTTATATTCATCCACTTATAAAGAGTAATATTACAATTGATCCTAAAATATATAAAATAACATAAGAAATGGCAGATAAATATTTAAATGAAGATTTAGATTAATTTGAAAAACAGTTATATGAATTTTATTTAAGATAAAATAAAAAGCCACAGGAAATTCCTGAAAACATGGGAATGTTACTGTTGTTTGTTCTATTCATTTTTAAAGATTTTAATACTATTCTCAATTTAGCTTTATAATAAAGTTATAACCATCTCTACGTTGAAATTACTAAAATAAAATATACAAGATAAGAAGGTATGAATACTATAAGAGGAAGAGTTGAAAAAGCATTAGATTTCTTTAATGATCGTTTTCATAGAGAAGATGGAAGTGTTAGACAAAAAGATTTAAAAACTTAGATGAAAAAATTCTTACCTTCCTTTAAAAGAGATTGATAATTACATTATTAATACAAATTTATATTAACATCAGATAATTTATTTATTTTGTCATCTTATAAATGTTCGATTTTACACCCTTGTTAGAGTGAAAAATTATTTTAAATTTGTTTTTCTAACTTACTATCATTCGGACAATATTATGAAACACTTTTTGCTCATAATATGATAGAATAAATATTAATTGTGGTTTAAAGATTATATTAAATAAATTTATATTTTTGGGGTGAGGATTAATCAACAATAATAATTATGATTATAATAATTAAAATTCTTGTGGCTGAATTTTAAGCTTGTATTAAAAAAAATTATGAAATAAACTATTGTATATCTCTATTCTTTTTTCATTTAATTTATAGTTTTATTTGAATATTTATTAATTTTTAACAAAATATGGATGAGTTAATTTTTTCATTAGATTTTTAATGAGAGTAAAAATAATACCTATTTGTATGTTCATCATAATTATTGATAAATTTTGCCTCTCATTTGAGAATATTATTTAAATATTGAAGATAATTTATTCCTTCAGAAAAAAGAAACTATAAAGAATTTTTGAAGATAATGAGATAATTGATTTAATTATACATTCAAATAAATGTTATCAATTTCAATACTTATTTATAACATATAGTTGTACTTTTCTTCTCTAAATATTTAAAACACATTTGATAGGAATTTAATTAAAATATAATTTAATAAAATAAATAATTATAATTATAATTATTTTCTAAATATATATAATAGATATTTGATTGATTATTAACAATACATCAATTTTATTTATTTGCATGTGGATGTGGATCTTGTATATTTATTAAAAGTACTTTATATCAATGGATGATTAGCAGCCTATGAAATATCAAATCTTTATTTAGGATCAATCACTAATATGGAATTAAGAAAATCTTAGGCTGCCTCTGTGATTTTTTATGGACCATTATCATATTATATTGATTAATTTTTCCTATGAAATTAAAACATTTGTTCTAGTTCTTTCGGATTTTTAGCATTGAATGGTACCTTTCCTAATTATTTCATAATTTCATACCAAATAACATTTCATAAAATACTATACCTAATGCCCATAAATCTGTTTTTGAAGAATATTAATAATGAGAATATATTTCTGGAGCCATATATAATGGAGTTCCTATTTATAAAATTTCTCTACATATATTATTTATATACTTTGTTTGAGGTTGATTCAAGTCTATTGCAAATCCAAAATCTGCTAATTTAGGTATTTAATTTGAAACTAAAATATTTTATGTCTTAATATCTCTATGTACAATATTTCTCTCCTTTAAATAAAGTAATGCTTTAATAAGATGTTTTAATATCTTTACTGCATTATGTTCTGGTAAATATCCTTTTTTTTCTATTATTGATTGCAAATCACCTAAAATCTACAGACTAATTACCATCAGAACAAAATTCAGTTATAATATAGATATTATTCATTGTTTCAAGATAATTGTATAATTTAAGCAAACATTTATTATCTACTGACTTTAGAATATTTATCTCATTAACTAATAAACTTCGAAAAATTTAATTGTTTTAAATGCTTTTCCTATCAATAATCTTGATAGCCACTATTTCATTTGTATTTTAATCTTGACCTTTGTACACTGAACTGAATTCTCCAGTTCCAATTACATCATTTAAATTATATACATATTAACCAATCTCTTTCTAAAAATTAATATATTAATACTAATATGCTTGGAGAATTTTAGGATTACTTATTCTCAAACTTTATCTTACCATAAGGACTAGTTGATGAACCCTCTATTTTTTTTATGTTTTAAGGCTGTTAATTTAATTGTTATTATTACATTTTATTATTAATAATATTGTAATCAAATTTATATATATATTTAAATTAAAATTAAGACTAAATTAACATGATTAATTATGATTTGATTGAAGGAAATTAGAATGATATTAATTAACATTAAAAAGTGTTATTGTTACATATAAATTATTGACAATTATCAATTTCTTTTCTTGGTAGGTAATTTTTTCTTTAAATAATTCATTAACCCATCTTGTCTAACACTTCCATCTTCTCTATGAAAACGATCATTAAAGAAATCTAATGCCTTTTCAACTCTTCCTCTTAGAATTTCTATACCTTCTTATTTTGGATATTGTATTTTAGTAATTTCAACGTAGAGATGGTTATAACTTTATTAATTAGCTAAATTGAGTATAGTAATATTGAAATCTTTAAAAATGAATAGAACAAACAAAAGTAACATTCTCATGTTTTCAGGAATGTCCTATGGCTTTTTATTTTATCTTAAATAAAATTCATATAACTGTTTTTCAAATTAATCTAAATCTTCATTTAAATATTTATCTGCCAATTCTTATGTTAGTTTAAATGTTTTAGGATCAATTGATAAATTACTCTTAATAAGTGGATGATTATAACCAATTATATATCCCAAATAATCTTTTATTTTTAGAAATGGATATGGATCAGATTAAAAAGTAATAATTGAATTGTTTTTATCACCTTTTTTTAATTTTGTTCCAAAATATTTCTTTATATAAGCAATCATTTCTTTTTTAAGTATTGAATCTTATGATATCTTTAAACAATCTTCATGATAAAAAAGGATCCAGACATTTATCTTGGTTTTTATTTATTACATTCATGACATTTTATACATTCTTTACAATATATCTCATTTTCAATATTCTATAAAGAATAATTAAAGAATTATTAACATTTTGAACATTTTAAACCTAAACAACTTTTACAAATATTAGATTCAACATCATTTTTTATTTCACTTTATTCTAAACTATTTTTACATTTAACACATTCTATCTTCTATTATAAATCAACCATTTCTTCATTTGAATCCTATGTAGAAACACTAGATACACTATCTACTCTTTTTAATTTAGTATCAACAATCTCTGATTATATTTCAACACTCTGTAAACTTGGGTTTTTATTGAGCTCATTAATACCTTACTCTACTTATGTATTTAATTCATCTGTATTTCCATCTATTCCACCTCTTACATTAATAATCTAATATTCATCTTCTACATCTAATTTTAATGTTGGACTTATAAAAGGTTAATAATTTGGAATAAGATTCTAATTGAAGATTTCTTCAATCAATTTATATTCAATTGAAACCCCTTTTTCAAACATGTATTTGGCTAAATAATTAGCCATTAAAACTTGTCTTAATCTTATTAAGATAGGGTATTTTTGAGCAATTTAATCATAAATTTTGGCAAATTAAATTGCAAATTTATAAGCTCCACTATTTTCATCTTAAACTACTTCATCCTAAAGTTCTTGATTAACAATTCTTGCATCAACAGTTAATTAAATTTTCTCAATTTCTAATTTATGAATATGATTATGTTTATCTTCTACTATATTTAACTTCAATTTTCCAATTTTAAGAAATAGTCTAGCAAAATATTCTGGATCTAATTTATATAGTGGCTATATATCTAAATTTCCATAATCAAAAGGTCTAGTTTATAATGGTTCTCTTGACAAAACTTCTATTCCCAAACTCATTTATTTTAAAAGAAAATCAGCTTCATAGAGTACTTCTCCTACATGTGTCCCTTCTAAATATTTTGGGAAATAGACTTTTTATTGATATTGACTATTCATTTCTTAATCATCTTCTTCTGGTTCTAATGAAAATGTCATATCAAATTGTTAATCTGCAAATTCTGGATCATAATAAACTTTTAAAAAGGTCATTAAATCTAATATTTAAATCTAAGTTTCAGCTTCTTCATTGAGAACAAAACTGAAATTATTTTCAGTTATTTTAACACCAACTATTTTATTCAAATTAGGATTTTCTAAGAAATTTTTTTAAGCCTTTTGTTAAAATTAATAAGTTGAAGAAATCAAATTAATAAATTTATTAATTTCATCCTATCTAATTAAATAATGAGAATTAACTGACTCACATGGTCTGTAATATATGTAACTTTCTATAATTGCTTCTTATATTTTATTTTATAAAGCAAGATCAATTGATTTTTTATATTATATTAATGGCCAATTTCTAAAAGATAAGTCTATTAATAATAATTAAGCTTATGAATTAAGACTATCGAAATCTATATTTGGATATTCCTATTTCAAAAACCTCCTTAATTTCAAACAATTTTAATCATAATCAGCTAAAAATAAATAGTTAACTTATCCATCATCCAAACCATCTTTATATCCTAATACTTCTTCGGGTTTACAAATGTGAGAGTATCCAATTATACAATATTCTTAATCCTTCACATTTACAGGAAACCACTTTTTTTATTCTTCATTGTAACTTACATAATTATACTTTTTTCCTTCCAAATCCCTTAAGAATTATATCCATTCACAACTCTTGCGATTACAAAATTCTAATTCACTTTTTATAGCAAATATAGAAAATTGCTCTAATGTTGTAAATATATCATCAAGCTTCTCAGAAGCATAGGCTAGTTCTTCTTCATTTTTTTAAGGTATGTCATATATCCATACACCCTCTTTTAATGGATTTCCATTTTGATCAAAATGTTCTTAAAAAAAGTTTCGTTCCTCTATGTAGTTAAGCTTTAACATATTTTATTTATTCTCATCGCTATTATGCTTCCTTTCATTCAATTTCAAAGCTTCATAAAAATTCTTTTTTTAACACTCCTTTATCAATTAAGTATATTATAAGAACCTTCCTGTATTCATAAGAATAGACAGTAGTAAATATTAGCAGCCTATATTTAATTATTAAAAACTATTTTCTCCATATTATTCATTATAGTCATATTGAAGTACAATTTTAGCATTATTGATATCTTGAACTAATAATTCTTCGGCTTGATCCTTATTTATTCCATTCTTAAATTTTTCATAATCCTCATCACTTGCAATAATATGATTATATCCAATTAACCATTTGGTTCCTTATTCATTACAGAGTCTTGGAGATTCAATCAAACGACCATCACCA